CCTGCCAGTTTTATGAAACTCACAGAGCATTATAAATAGTTGTGGATTGTTTTACTCTATGGTTAAAAATTAGGAAATTTCATTTTTTAAAAAAATCAAGATTATTTACTTTGTCTTTAAAAAATGTCCCTACCACTCAAATGTGTACTAATACCCAGGGCCAATTCACTGTTTTTATTAGCAGAGTTGGTAGATACGTGTTTGCTACTCTGAACTTCCAGTTTCATTTTGTCGAAGTTGAGCATCATTATGCTAACCTGCTGTATATATATAAGTAAAAGTAATTTCAAAAGTTAAAACTATTGAAATGTAAGTTCATCCGAGGTTTTTTTTTTAACGACAGTTTTTTTCTTAACCAGTTTTGTGCAGGAGCTATGAAAGTGATTTTCTTTTATTTACTTTTTTATTCTCTGTGTTCTTTCCCCTGCTCACCTTTTTTATTGAGCAGTTCAGTGTGTGAGTCTATCTTCAACTTGCATTGATTTGTGAGCATTCTTTGTTAATCTGGAGAGAATGATTTTTTTTTTGTGATCAATCAAATTCTTGGCATAGGAAAGACTGTATCATCTGCCTGACATGAAAATAGTCACAAGAGTCTTGAAGTGCTGGAAACATTGTGACATCTCTCCAGGATTTCCTGCTTACTCAGGCTGCCACATTTGTTGCTGGAATTTCAATATCCTTTGTCGCTCTCAGCTCTGGGATGCACTGACTTGTGTGACGTTTGGGTTGTAAATTGTACCGAGGCTCTCTAAGTATATAAATAAAGCTTCAGAATCCTGCACATACTAGTAGAAATAGGAAGCACGTATCTAATTGGGTTTCCGTGATTTGGCCTGTCAGCATTGAAACACTGAAAGGAGAAGTAATGCAGTTGGGATCCTTTTGCTTCAGTTACTTGTTCTTCCATCACTGCTAGTTCAGTACCTCCCAGGTTTTGAAACGTATGTCAGTAATCAAGGGGTCCAGCGTTCTCACAGGGACTTGGGCGTGCAGATGGTGATTTTAGAAAATGGGGGTGGTGGGAAGTCCTGGGAATGGTTGAGGTATTGTTCAGCAAAAAAAGAACTTTGTACCATGACTTTGAAAACCACACCAGTCTCAAGCATTTTCAACCATAGTATTTGTGTGTGTGTGTGTGTGTGTGTGTGTGTGTATGTATGATATTTGCTCGTTCAAAGAGTCTTTATCCTAGAGAAACAAGGTATTACTGATGCTTCCTAAGCTGCGTCTCTGTGCTTACGCCTCATGTATTTGTTTATTCACTTTTAACAAATGGAAATGGCCATTTCCTTACTCACTGAGTGTGCTACTGCACACTATTGCTGCCCAGCGAATTACCGCAAAATGTTGTGACTTAAAACGACAGTACACATTGTCTCAGACCATGTCTGTGAGTTAGGCATCTGGGAGTTGCTTAACTTGGATGGGTCTGGTCCGGTTCTGGGCCGTGTCTGGGCTGCACTCACCTGGAGGGTCACCTCTAAGGGGGCTCAGTCACATACCTGGTAGGTTAGTGCCCGTTGCTGGCGGGAGGCCTCTCTTCCATACCACGTGGACTGCTTGAGTATCCTCCCAAAATAACAGCTTGCTGTACCCAGAGTGAGGATTCTAAGAGAAAGCAAGACAGTAGCTGCCTCTTTTATGATCTAGTCTCCGAAACCACACCCTATTACTACAGTATCCTGTTCGTTACACGGGACACCCCGTTCACTGTGGGAGGGGACCGCACAAGGGTGGACATGCCAGCAGATGAGACGCTCTGGGGTTGTCTGGGAAGCTGGCGATCACAACTGGTCAGCAGCTCTCTTGGTCATCATTTGTTGTTTCCTGTTCTTAACTAGCACTGTGGAATTAGAGTGGGCATTCTATATCTATTGCTTCTCATGAAAATATATCAAAAGAATTTGAGAAACGCCAAGTGTCCAGACTGCCAGAAGCACGGTGATAGATCATAAGTTGCATCCATTTAGAGTTTACTAATCTGAGAATTTGTGTTAACGTAGGAGTCATTTACAGGATTCTTCTTTAGTCACAAATTTAGAATGATTTCATTTGGGAAGGCCTTTTGAATCGGCAAGATGAGTAGGTGTAAAAGTAAAAGTTAATTCCTTCATGCCTGGCCAAAAAAGAAAAGAAGGTAAAAGTTACAGATTGGCAAATATGTCTTTGATAGTTATATAAGTGGAATTGTTCTGCATCTGTCAACTTCCTTCAGTTTATCTAATTATACTTGACATTATTTTTTATGTGCAGGCATTCCCCAACTGGATTTTTAAATTACAATCTTTTAAAGTTCATCATCAGGAATTTAGGGTTTTTTCCCCCACAGGAAAAAATGTTACATTGTTCTTGTGGTTCTTTGAATCAAACTAGTGTTCCAAGGCTAAACCACAGTCCTTAATGTATTAGAGACTATTTTTGTTTTGAAAGTTAGTACCATTGCAGTTTTACTAATTAAAGAACCCAAAGAACAGCAATCGCAAGTAGGAAAAATTATCTTAAACTGGTGCTTAAGGAAAAATTTGTATAGTTTGAGAGAAGGCCTTAGAAATTTAGAGAAATTCCTAAATGGGTCTCTAGATTTCATTTTAATACACAAATGAATCAAACCCTATTCTCATTCTTACTGGCTTCAAGGTGGTTTTTTATTTGGTTTTGTTTTTTGGTTTTAGGATTTTGTTTTTTTGTTTTTGTTTTTGTTTTTTGAGATGGACTCTTGCTCTGTCGCTGAGGCTGGAGTGCAGTGGCACGATCTTGGCTCACGGCAGCCCCTGCCTCCTGGGTTCAAGCGATTCTCCTGCCTCAGCCTCCTGAGTAGCTGGGGTTACAGGCGCCTGCCACTGTGCCCGGTGTGCCCGGGTAATATTCTGTATTTTTAGTAGAGACAGGATTTCACTATGTTAGCCAGGATGGTCTCCATCTCCTGACCTCGTGATCTGCCCACGATGGCCTCCCAAAGTCCTGGGATTACAGGCATGAGCCACTGCACCTGGCCGGTTTTAAGTTTTATTTTGTTTTGTTTTAATCTGCTAGGAAGTCTTAAAATAGAATGGAGAAAATGAAAGACTTTACTGATGTTATCTGGTAAGTGTTAGAATAGGCATAGATGCATTGGAGACTGGAAGGGAATAAGGGAATTTGGAAAAAACAAGCTGGATTTTTAAAATATATTACTTTTCATGACTTACAAGCTGATGCTTAGAAGATCTGTGTGTAGGCCGGGCATGGTGGCTCATATCTATAATCCCAGTACTTTGGGAGGCCAAGGTGGGCGGATCACCTGAGGTCAGGAGTTTGAGACCAGCCTGGCAAACATAGTGAAACCCCATCTCTACTAAAAATACAAAAAACTGGCCAGGCGTGGTGGTGCACGCCTATTGTTCCAGCTACTCGGGAGGCTGAGGCAGGAGAACTGCTTGAACCCGGGAGGCGGAGGTTGCAGTGAGCTGAGATCGTGCCTTTGCACTCCAGCCTAGTCAACAAGAGTGAAACTCCATCTCAAAAAAAAAAAAAAAAAAAAAAAAAACCAGAATCAGACTAGTCATTGGGAAAATTTTCCGTTTATGAGTCTTGAGTCAGAAAATTGGTGAAATGCCCTTTGAAAGCTGAGTCAGTGCTTATGACTAGTTTTAGGATATGTCTGTTTCTCAGTTTATAAGATCCTTGCTGGATCTTTGAGTTTTGAAAAATTTCTCTTAGTCCAGTGATACTTTCACATTGATATGAACTTTTATTAAATATTTAAAATGTTCCTAACTATTGTAAGTAGATTTGGGTTCAGCTAAGTAAATCAGTGAATCAAATTGGTGTGTAATGAAACCGTGAGACATGAGTCCCAACTTCAGAATGCTTCCCATTTGGTTGTGGAAATAGGTCACGTGTATCATGTTAAATAATGGAGATAAAAAAGTTTGCAATTAACCTTTTTTTTAGTGATTTCTTTTTTTTGTTAGTGAAATTTAAAATCTATTTCCCCAAAGTAATCTTTGGAGTTCAACCTAATTTTGGTGATAATATAAGTGCCAGATTTAATGTTGTGTCTCCTCCCCACCACGACCCCCCCAAACCCCAGCCTTCCATACATTAGTTGAAAGGGCCCTGCAGGAAGATTCTGAAGTCCCAGGCAAATATAATAGGGGGTAGGGAGAGGACTTACTTAGAGAGATGGTGGTGAAAGTCTCAAACTCCACATTTCTAGAATAAACAGGTTATTTGTAAGGAGCAGTCAGAGATACTTAGACCAGTAAAATACTTCTGTAACACTAGAAGTGAGAAGACATGGGAACATTATCTAGAAACTATCGAGAGGAAATGACTGCAGACCAAAAATCCTACGTGTAGTAGTCAAATAATAAAGGTCAAGGGGAAAAAAGGAGTGTTTGGAAATGCAAGGAATACCAAGTATAGACCTCAAATGCTGAAGAATATACTTGAGGTATTCTCCCAGATTAAAGTCAAAGCATAGCATAGTTCTAAGGACAAAAGAAGTCAATGAGCGTCAAAAGCAAGTGCAGTTGGATAATCAACTCGTTCAGTATTGCAAGCCCTTACACTTCCATGGACAGAGTTAATCACGTCTGTGTTCTGCTTTTGTGTCTCTTTCCACTTCCCCCCATTCTAACCCTGCCCCCATCTCCTACACGCTGCTGAGCTGTCATTTCAGTGGACTTGCAGGAAGGAGGGGAGGTAAAAGCATGGGATCGGTCTAACATCTTGATTTGGAAAATCTGTTTTTAAAATACCGTGCGTCTTACCACAAAAGGTTGCTGTGAAGAGTTGTTGGTCAGGACTCATGCTGCAAACAACAGAAACTAGCAATGGAGGATTTAAACAAAAAAGAAACCTGTGGAGAGGATTCTGGGTGATTCTGGGCTCCTGGGGAAGGCTGGAGAACCCGGCTCAGTTGGTTGGAAATTGGGCAAAATTGACTTCGCAGTGACAGCACTGTACCTTCCCTTAGAAATAAATCACCTTTTTCTTCTTTTTTCCAAACATAGGTTATATATTTGGGGAGAACTCCAGAAGAAGCATATAGAATATTAATCTTTGGAGAGACATCCTATATTCCTTTCAGGTAAATATAAGAATGATGTGGTAGATTCAGGTAATCAGATCCTTGCCAGCAATACCTTGATAGTTGTTTCTGAAAAAAGAAGATCTGGTAAATAGCCATTTTAGGGTGAGCACAAATAACACCACACATCTGGGTTTTTCCACAGTAACACTGCTCACCTTTTGTCCTGGGGGCTGTGTTGTGCCTCGTAGGATGTTGAGTGGCGTCCGTGGCTTCTGCCCACTAGATGCTGGTAAAATCCCCACACCCACTCTAATTGCCAAAACTCAGAATGTCTGCAGACATTGCCATATATCCCTGTAAGTGGCCTTGGGGGATGCAGAGCAAAATCTCCCTATGTTGAGAACCACTGCCGTTGATGAAAACTAAGCTTTGGCTGGGCACAGTGGCTCATGCCTGTAATCCCAGCATATTGGGATGCCAAGGTGGAATGATTGCCTGAGCCCAGGAGTTCCAGACCAACCTCGGCCACAAAGACAGGCCCCATCTGAGACGGGTGGATCACGAGGTCAGGAGATCGAGACCATTCTAGCTAACTCGGTGAAACCCCGTCTCTACCAAAAAATACAAAAAACTAGCCAGGCGAGGTGGCGGGTGCCTGTAGTCCCAGCTACTCGGGAGGCTGAGGCAGGAGAATGGCGTAAACCCGGGAGGCGGAGCTTGCAGTGAGCTGAGATCGGGCCACTGCACTCCAGCCTGGGCGACAAAGCAAGACTCCGTCTCAAAAAAAAAAAAAAAAAAAAAATTAGCCAGGCATGGTTGCGCGTGCCTGTAGTCCCAGCTACTTGGGAGGCTGAGGCTGCAGGATTGTATGAGCCCAGGAGCTTGAGGGTGCAGTGAGTGAGCTATGGTCACACCACAGCACTCAAGCCTGGGCAATAGAGAGATAACTTGTCTCAAGAAAAACAAAAACAAAAACCCAAAACCTAGGCTTCGTGCTCAGGGAGAATCCTGGACTGTGGTACTCAAAACTCCCACTGAGGAGTGTGGTTCCTGGGAAGTGAAGAAATGTTCCCAATAATCAGTAGTTACTTTCTGGGACCAAAATGAACCCCTTTTTTCTGGGGACACAGTCAGTAGAGACAGCCAGTAAGGTTGCTAATGCAGTACCACTTCCAGAAAAACCAGTCAAGTCACTGTGTCCCAGAGGTGGTAGATAGCGATGTCTGCAGGAATGGATGACATCCTCGTCTCAAGCTTAGCATGCGATTGTGTTGAAGATATTTCGAGAAGACTGGTGCTTAAATCAAATTAAGTTCTAAAAATTTTTCTGCTTGTTTATCAAAATACTTGACATAGCTCTATAATGTAAATACTTGTATGGTAGGTACTTAATGGGTAATAAATGTGTGAAATAATTTTACTCATTGAAGACTTTGATATTTTCAAAACTGCTTGTTCTTCCATTCACAAATTAGTTCACTGCTTGTACAATGAACTAATAACTATTGCTTATTAGTTCATTGTTCAAACTAATTAGTTCATTAGTTTATCGTATTAGGACTGTTACATATACCACAAATGCCTGATTTTAAATGTATGGCCCTGACTGTAAAAAAGGAAGTTTGTGAATCTGACTTCATTTTAGATGAGCTTTGGCATAGGTACTTGGAATTATTGGCAGAATCTCCTTTTGAGATAACTTTATAGGCCCGCCTGTGGACTTACTCCATGAAATCACAATTTCTCAGGGCAATCCGAAGACTTCAGGAATACACTGCATGAAAGATTGTGAAGATCGGTGATTTAGCAAATTAGAATTGGCTTGAACCCAGTATCATCTCTTTCTTCTAGGTCATGGCTCATCTTAAGTATTCTTTTATTTGAGGTGGGTAGGAAGGGAAGCGGGGAGATAAAGATTATTTTCTAAGCTGGAAAATTCTTCTTCTCAACCTATAACATAACAGCAACCACATTCTTCCTTTAAAAGAAATGCTTGTATTTTTGGTCTTGAGTCACAGGCACCTTGGTCATCTCCTGATGTAGTGACATTTGTTCTGTAGAACTCTTCTTTATAATGATAATCCTTTGCGGTGCCACTCTTACATTTACAGCACAAGGAACATGCTCACACATTTCACACAGTGTGGCACTATTGATGTGAAAAAAGACGTTTTGAGTTAATTTAAATACAGGTGCCAAAAACAGAATAAGCATTGCTTACTGCCTTGCTGTGTTTCAAATTACTGAAGTTTGGCACTGAGAAATGAAGTTAGTTCCTTGTGGTCTCAGGAGCAACTAGAAACCATTCAGGTTTGTGAAATTTGAATCTCTTCTATCATAGATACTAGGTATTTATCTAGACAGTTTTTTTTTTTTTTTTTTTTTTTTTGAGATGGAGTCTTGCTCTGTCACCAAGCTGGAGTGCAGTGGTGTGATCTGGGCTCACTGCAACCTCCGTCTCCCAGGTTCAAGTGATTCTCCTGCCTCAGCCTCCCCAGTAGCTGGGACTACAGGTGCCTGCCACCACGCCTGGCTAATTTTTGTATTTTTAGTAGAGAAAAGAGTTTCACCATGTTGGCCAGCACGGTCTTGATTTCTTGACCTCGTGATCCTTAAGTGTGGCCTGTGAACTGGTGCTGGTCTGTGATGAGATAAATACAGAAGTTGAGAGTAAGATTTTAGAAGCATTTATAGGTTACTGAATAGAGCAATTTTATGTCTGTAGAATCAAATAGTAGAAGAAATTTGGACTTGTATTTTTTTTTTTTTTTTACTTTCATTTTTCTAGTAATTTATTCACAAAAATAAGATTACTGCGTTACTGGGTATGTAATAGTACAGTACTATTACATTTCATATTTATTTTACAAAAGTGTCAACCTATGATTGACTTAAAGTTTTTAAATTTAGTGCTTCCTCACATAGTGTTGTATAGAACTTAATTAGAAAGTAGTCCAATCAGAATTAATAAAGCCTGATAATATTTTGATAGAAATGACATTATATTCTTTGTATCTTGCCACTTCAAGTACATAGAATAAATGTAACCAGCAAAGTATTGCTAATAAGACATTGTGCAAGAATGGCATTCATTTATAGTAAATAAGTTATTTTATGTTACATAGCAATGTTTTATTTAATTAGATTTAATTCAACTTAGATCGAATTCTCTTTTATTTATTTATTTTTTTGAGACAAAATCTTGCTCTGTCGCACAGGCTGGAGTGCAGTGGCACAATGTCGGCTCACTGCAACCTCTGCCTTCCAGGTTCAAGCAATTCTCATGCCTCAGCCTCTAGAGCAGGTGCCACCACGCCCGGCTAATTTTTGTATTTTTGGTAGAGACGGGGTTTCACTATGTTGCCCAGGGTGGTCTCAAACCCCTGGCCTCAAGTGATCCGCCCACCTTGGCCTCCCAAAGTGCTGGGAATACAGGGGTGAGCCTCGGAGTTTTAAAGTGCGTGTGTATACATGATTTCTTACTGAGTTATATTAAATATTTCTCTGTGTCTGGTCTGCATGATTAAATAGTATAAAATATAGTTTAATTTTTTTAAAATGTCATAGGATCATTGTTATGAACTGTGTTTCTGTTCTCTGGTATTATCTCTGCTTCTTAGTTGTTTTTGTGTGGGGGGGCTTGCCTCTGCTTCCTGTTTTCTTGAGAGGTAGTATTGTATATTTGTTAATAGCTTGACTTGACATCAAATGGGAGTTTTGCTATCAGCTCTGCTACTGATATCTCTGTGGTGTTTTACAGATTTGAGCCTTGGTCTCCTAGTCTTTAAACAGAAACAATAATAAAATCTCCCTGAGGGGGCTGTGAGGATGAAGTGACATCCTGCATATAAAACACATAGTATAGGCTGGGCATGGTGGCTCATGCCTATAATTCCAGCACTTTTGATCCCTGAGGTGGGAGGATGGCTTGAGGCCAGGAAGACCAGCCTGGGCAGCATAGCAAGACGTTTCTCTTTGCGGGGAAAAAAAATTAGCTGGGCATGGTAGCATGTTTCTGTAGTCATAGCTACTTGGGAGACTAAGGCAGGAGGATCCCTCAAGCCTAGGAGGCTTCAGTGGGCTTTGATTATGCCACTGCACTCAGCCTGCACAACAGAACAAGACTGTGTCTTTTTTTTTTTTTTTTTTTGAGACAGACTCTCCCTCTGTCACCCCAGGCTGGAGTGCATTGGTGTGGTCTTGGCTCACTGCAGCCTCCTCCTCCCAGGTTCAAGCAATTCTCCTGCCTCAGCCTCCTGAGTAGCTGGGATTACCGGTACCCGCCACCACGCCTGGCTAATTTTCTGTAGTTTTAGTAGAGACGGGGTTTCACCGTGTTAGCTGGGATGGTCTCCATCTCCTGACCTCGTGAGCCTCCTGCCTCAGTTTCCCAAAGTGCTGGGATTACAGGCGTGAGCTACCACGCCCAGCCATTTACCTACATTTTAAAAAAATCACTGTCTTGGCCGGGTGCAGTGGTTCACACCTGTAATTCCAGCACTTTGGGAGGCTGAGACAGGTGGATCACCTGAGGTCAGGAGTTCGAGACCAGCCTGGCCAATGTGGTGAAACCCTGTCTCTACTAAAAATACAAAAATTAGCAGGGCATGGTGGCGCACACCTGTAATCAAATCCCAGCTACTCGGGAGGCTGAGGCACAAGAATCACTTGAACCTGGGATGTGGAGATTGCAGTGAGCTGAGATCACGTCATTGCACTCCAGCCTGGGTGACAAGAGCGAAACTCCGTCCCAAAAAAAAGATATTATCTGTCTCCTGAAAGATTCCCTCCTACCCCTTTCCAGTCAGTCATCACCCCCAGCTAATCATTGTTCTGACTTCTGTCACTATCAGTTTTGCTTGCTTTTGAACTTCATATAACTGGTATGCATTTTGGGGAGCTGGCAACTGGATTTCACATATGTAATGTCTATGAGATCTACCTGTGTTATGGCAGGTGTCAGTAGTTCATCCTTTTTTTTGCTTTTGTGGCATTCCAGTCTGTGAATATACCACCATTTATTTGCCTGTTGTCGTTTTGATGGATATTTGGGTCATTTGCAGTTTTTGGCTGTGGTGAATACGAGCTGTTATGAAAATTGCCATTCTTTAAAACTAGTATTTGACATTGTTGTGCAGTTTCCAAGCAGTGCCCTTTTATTGATTCTTATGTGTTTTCCAAATTTGTTAAATGATCTTGGTGGCAAGGATCCCTCCCCACTCCCTAAGGCTTATAAACCGAGCCTCAGAGTTGCTGTTCTGTCTATTGGAAGAAGACTGAATGCCCGGTGGGAGGAAGATGTGATGTGGGTGTGTCTAAAATTGGAGGTGCTAATGAAATAAACTTGAGTGAACAAAGATTCTTGTCGTATATTCAGATTCTATGATGTATGAGGCAGGACTTCAGCAGGGCCCAGATGAAAGCTTGTGAAATCATCACAGATTGGATCGGGGCTGTGCCCCACAGTAGGTTCTCAAAAAAAAAAGAAAGAAAGAAAGAAAAGAGAAAGCGTTGAAGAAATTTGTCAAAATGTCACAGGGACTGAATCAACACGCCTTTAACTTGACTGGAAAATAATTATCAGTAGGTTGAGAAGATAATCAGGCTGGGCGCAGTGGCTCAAGCCTGTAATCCCAGCCCTTTGGGAGGCCAAGGTGGGTGAGTCATAAGATCAGGAGATAAAGAACATCCTGGCTAACACGGTGAAACCCCATCTCTACTAAAAATATGAAAGAATTAGCTGGGTGTGGTGGCAGGCACCTGTAATCCCAGTTTCTCGGGAGGCTGAGGTGGGAGAATGGCGTGAACCCGGGAGACGGAGCTTGCAGTGAGCCGAGATCACGCCACTGCACTCACTCCGGAGGGAGACTCTGTCTCAAAAAATAAAAGAAGATAATCGTAGTCCTTCACAGAGGAGACATGGTTAAAATCATTGGCATCCAACTTGAGGGTTTACCCCATTTCCGTTGATAATTTTGATTTGATTTAGGCTAAACTACTTCATTTTCCTGCCTTAGTTTCTCTACCTAAATGGGTTCTTTATTCCATGAACACCCTATTTCTACAAAACCAGGATTTGTGTTGATTTGTAGGTCGGTGGTTCATAAACTTGAACACAATCACAGGTATCTAGAGGACCTGTTAAGACACAAATTACCTGGCCCTGATTCAGTAGATGTGGGGTGGCCCTGAGAATTTGCATTTCTGATGGGTGGGGTGGACCTGGTACTGCTGGCCTGGGGACCACCGCTGCAAGTCCTTTTGTTTTTTTTTCTTTCTGAATATTGCCAATAAGGTGTTGGGAAAGTCATGGTCTTTTAGGTTAGATAAAGACCTTTTCTAGGATGTAGAAGAGAAAATTTTCAATTCAGAACCTTATAGAACAAAAATGGTGTGTTCTAAGACCTTGTATCGGCTGAATGCAGTGGCTCACACCTGAAATCCCAGCACTTTGGGAGACTGAGACAGGCAGATTGCTTGAGCTCAGGAGTTCGAGACCAGCCTGGGCAACATGGTGAAACCCCAACTTTACCAAAAAACATAAAAATTTAGCCAGGCATGGTGGTGTGCACCTGTGGTCCCAGCTACTCCAGAGGCTGAGGTGGGAGGATTGCTTTAGCCCAGGAGGTCAAGGCTGCAGTGAGCCATGATTGCACCACTGCACTCCAGCCTGGGCAACAGAGCAAGACCCTGTCTCAAAAAAAGAAAACAAAACAAGACCCTGCATTCCATCCTCATGAAGGTTCGCATAGCTCAGTAATTCTAAGCAGCTCAGTCAGTAACATTGAAGACGATTTTAGATGAAAAGGATGCCTTTTCTTTCCCTCATTGCTGTAGTCTTGGCCCTTAAGGTTTGAGCAAGAATTAAAAGTTGAAAATGTGTAACTTGCATTTTAAATGTAACAAAATTCTAATCTTTTTTTTTTTTTTTGAGATATGAGTCTTGCTTTGTCACCAGGCTGGAGTGCAGTGGCGCGATCTTGGCTCACTGCAACCTCCGCCTCCCGGGTTCAAGTGATTCTCCTGTCTTAACTTCCCAAGTAGCTGGGACTACAGGTGCATGCCACCACACCCAGCTAATTTTTATATTTTTAGTAGAGACAGGGTTTCACCATGTTGGCCAGGATGATCTCAATCTCTTGACCTCATGATCCACCTGCCTCGGCCTCCCAAAGTGCTGGGATTACAGGCGTGAGCCACCGCATCCGGCCTCAAAAACACTAATCTTAAGTGTGCAGCAGTAAGGTTTTACATATATGTATGTAACTGCCTCACAGTAAGAAATATTACAGTGTGAAGACCCAAATAAGGTGGGGAATTAGTGATAGCTCCACCAGCAACCCTGTTTCCCCAGAAGCAAATGAGTACCATTCAGACAGGCACAGTTTTTCTGCATGCCTCACTTAATCATAATTAAATTAATTTTTATGTTGCCTAATTCCAGAAAATTTCATCTTGTAATGGCTCAAGGTAGCCAAAAAGGAGAAGCAGGTAGGGATCAGGGGTGCCTTATTTCTCTGGGTAAAACCTTACTTGATATTAAGAGATTCGTATAGTAAGATTACTGCTATGTGTTGATGCAGTGTTTGGGTGGATGGAGTTGTCTGTAAAGTAATACAAGCACTTTTCCAAAACTAGAGTGATCCTGTGGAAGGTAGTTGACTTGTTAGTTCCTGTGGTTTTATTGGTATTACTACTGTCCTTTAAGAATCAGGAAGAAGGCAGGGCACAGCAGTTTACACCTGTCATCTCAACACTTCGGGAGGCCAAAAAGGTGAGAGGACTGCTTGAGGCTAGGAGTTTTCTTTGTTTTTTGTTTTAAGATGGAGTCTCGCTCTGTCGCCCAGGCTGGAGTGCAATGGCTCAAGCTCCGCTCACTGCAAGCTCCGCCTCCGGGTTCGTGCCATTCTCCTGCCTCAACCTCCCAAGTAGCTGCGACTACAGGCGCCCACCACCTCGCCCAGCTCATGTTTTGTATCTTTAATAGAGACAGGGTTTCACCATGTTGGCCAGGATGATCTCAATCTCTTGACCTCATGATCCACCTGCCTCGGCCTCCCAAAGTGCTGGGATTATAGGCGTGAACCACCGCGCCTGGCCAGTTTTTTTTGTTTGTTTTTGAGATAGAGTCTCTCTGTCACCCAGGCTGGAGTGTAGTGGTGTGATCTCGGCTCACTGCAGCCTCCATCTCCTGGATTCAAGCAGTTCTCTGCCTTAGCCTCCCAAGTAGCTGGGATTACAGGCGCCCGCCACCATGCCTGGCTAATTTTTGTATTTTTAGTAGAGACGGGGTTTCACCATCTTGGCCAGGCTGGTCTTGAACTCCTGACTTCGTGATCCACCTGCCTTGGCCTCTCAAAGTGCTGGGATTACAGGCGTGAGTCACCATGCCCAGCGTAGGCCAGAAGTTTAAGACCAGCCTGGGTATCATAATGAGCCTCCATTCTCTACCTTTAAAAAAAAAAAAAGAAAAAAGTTTACTAGATGCGATGGTACATGCCTGTGGTCCATGCTACTGGGGAGGCTGAGGTGGGAGGATCACTTAAACCCAGGAGTTTGAGGCTGCAGTGAGCTATGATTACACCACTGTACCCCAACCTGGGCCACAGGGCAAGACGTTATCTCTATAAAAAAGTTAAAAAACCCAGAAGTTATCTAGTTATGTGGGTAAAAGTCTTTAGCATAATGATAGGAGCAAAATGCTTATGACCTTCTACCGAGTATTTTAAATATGACCTTGATTTCTCAATATTTCTGTCATACTTGATTGGAGACACACACACAGATGCGCATGTATACTGAGACACACATACACACATATGTTTATTACAGGATCAAAAAGCAGTCTTTCCCAATAAGATTTTCATATGGTATTTTCCAGTTTAAAGAAAAAAATTCAAATGCTTTGCCCTTTTAGGGGAAGAGATAGGTATTGATTTGTTGAATTCAAGAAGGTAGCTCAGCTATTAAAGCCAAAAATAATCCAGAGAGAACATTTGAAATTTAGGAAGTGGTCATTATTGATCCAGGCCCATAAAACAGTACCTATTGGAATAGGTAGAAACTGCAGTGAAATTTGTAACTGATTTATCTTTTATTTAAAAAGTCAAAAGACAAGATTTTTTTCTTCTTGATAATGGTTCTGAGTAGACATTTGATTTTAAATTCTAGTCAGCTTTGTCTTAGGTAAGTGTAATTGCAGAAAATTAACTGATCTATATTTTATTACTTTTGGGTTTCAGAGATGCTGCCTATGGAAGCTGCAATTTCTACATTACACTTCTTGACTGTTTTCATGCAGTAAAGAAGGTAAGTGACATGTAGGATGCACCCAGTGTTGTGTTGAGGAACTAACATGTGGTCCAAGAAGACTAGGCCTTCTTCCCGAGATCTTTTTGTTAGCGTTTCTTCCAAGATGTGTATGGTGACAGAGGTGTACTCACTTCCCAACTAATGTCAGAATGAGACCAAACCAGGAAACGGTTTATTCTGAATTTCTGAGTGCTTCTGTGTATGAGTTGGGGGAAAAGTCACTTAAGAAACAGGGAAAATAAGAGTTATACAACTAGGTTCTAGATCCAGAATTGGTTTTGAGTATATTGTGATCTAAAAGAACAAAAGTAAGGATGACTGGTTTACTGGTAAGTTCTCTTTGATTTGTGTATTCTACATACCTGATTCCCGCCAATACGATTACCACAGACGTAACCCAGTCACTGTCAAACACTTCCTTTTTGTTTCCCCAGGCATTCAATTTCTAGTTCAACAGAATTTGAATGCCTCATTTAGTTTGTTATACGGTTTTCTATGAAGCTACGTGGGTCACGGCTGCTTTGTCAAACTATTTCCAAGTGATTTCTTGGGGTTATGACCAGGGCTGCTGTGTCGATTCCAGGGGACATGCCCATCACGTTCTACGTGAACAGTGTCCCCTGGGGTTACACAGTGCAGCAGGTCCTGGTATTAATGTCAGGACAGCACAAGAAACTAGAATGGTAAATCAGTAGCCCATAGATCAAATAAGCCTTTGACAGCATCTCAAGTTTTCTGTAACTTGTGCTTTTAGAGCCAAAAGGAACCCAGGTTTACTTTCTTGTATAATGAAACATGGTGGCTTGCTGGGAATTGTGACCGACATGTCTTAAAACGAGAGGACTAATCGGCATACAAATTCAGAAACGAATTAGTATACTTTTTTTCCTGTATCAATCAGTGAGGTATGGGAACATAATTTGTTTGGATTTGAATCCAGTGCCTTTGGGGTATGGAGCTGATTGGGGTAGTTCCCATGGGCTCTGAGGCGGCTCCATGGGCCCTCAGTGTGGGCAGGTACGGGCCACTAGTGGAAATCTGGAGACCAAAGGGCAACAGGGGTAAATGGTACCTTCTGGTTGCAGTTGCAGCCCCTGCCAGGTGGGCTCGTGCAGGTAGGTACACTCACCTTTAAAAAGAGAAAAGCAAAGCTTTGAGGGCTTTGGAAATGATCTATTATTATAACACCATATCGCAGCTTCTATCGTTATGTTGTGGCTTTTTTTTTTTTAATTGGGTGTTGCACCCGAAGTCAATTAGCTGGTATGATAGGTCAAAGATTGCCCTTTTCCTACTATATTTTGGGTTTTTTAAATTAAATTTTTATTTTTTCTGTGATGCTTGGCTAATTTTTGTATTTTTTTGTGGAGACGAGGTATCACTATGTTGCCTAGGCTGGTCTCGAACTCCTGAGCTCAAGTGATCCACTCACCCTGGCCTCCCAGAGTGCTAGGATTATAGGTGTGCACCACTGCACCCAACCACTATATTTAGTTTTATTTAAGGGTCACTAGCTTCTGATTTTCAGTGTAAACATTTTTTATTTGTGACTGACTTTGAATATTGCATATATGAAGAAACATGCATCAATGTAATTATGTTTTCAGTGTGATCCACTTCCAATAAGATCACCTCGTGAAATTCAAAGGAAAATAGGAATTCCTTATAAACTACTTTTTTATTGTTTCATTCTATTAGGAATAGCTGTAGTCCAAAGTCATGAAATATATTGAAGTCAAGGAAATAAATTTTGTGATTGACTTGTCTTGGGATTAGTGTTAAAATAACCAAATAAGATGAAGACCCTTTTAGTTGGTATTCTAGCCTTCTTATTTTACATTTGTATTTCAGTAGTTTACATTTTGAAAACTGGGTGTACAAAAGCCCCCTCTTTGAACCAAGAATACCTTGTGGATCAAGAGTTCTTGCTTCCCTCCTGTTTGTCTCAGTGATCAGCAAGCTGGGAGGACATTTCTCAGAGACCGCCAGCTCTGTTTGTCCTTGTCTCAGAAAATAGACAGTCTGCTTATTTTGGTTAGCATACTCTGCGTGCTGTCACACAGAGTGAGGCTATAGGATAGGACAGAAAATGTTTTGTTTTATTCCTATGGAAAGAATAACTTTTTTCCTCAAAATTTTTTATTTTAGTGTTGATGTCAGAGCTGTGTTTAGTTTAGGGAACATTGATTAAAGACTGTTCAGAAGTTGAAAATGAAGATATGGATGAAGTATGAGGGCTTTGTTTGGGATAAACTAGCCCATGGATTCTCTCCTCTTTCTTATTGATGTAGAGACCATTGGGTTGTGTATTATATTTGAATCCTAAACTTCTGAATTTTTAACCAAGGGTGGGGGTGATCTGGTAAGAGAAGAGGATTACTTTCAGGGCATGATTACTTAACAGTGCATGGATAGGGTGATTGGCGAATGAAAGTAAAAAAAGCACATCTCACAAAATCCAAACAAAACACAACAAACTCATTATATATAGTTATAACTAATTTCCATATAAAAGAAGCATTTAGAAGATGCCTCCCACTTCCTTTGAAAGCTGTTCAAGGGAAAGTAATCTGATTATGACAATACTTTCTTGGGGGGCCCCCTGATATTTAGTATTCTGAAATTGGATAGGAAACTGTTTTCTTACTTGCATCCTTGTTCTTAAAAGCTTTCTTTTGGATTTTAGGCAATGCAGTATGGCTTCCTTAATTTCAACTCATTTAACCTTGATGAATATGAACACTATGAAGTAAGTCTTCAAGGATCATGTTTTCAATTCTTTCCCCCCCCCCCCCCCCCCCAGCTTTATTGAGGGGAATAATTGACAAATAAAACTTACATATACTTAAGATGTACAAAGTAATGTTTTGATATATGTATACACCATGAAATGATTACCTAATCAAGCTAATTAGCATATTCATCACCTCACATAATTTAGTCTTTTGGTGTGGGATGAGAATACCTGAGATATACTCTAGCAGATTTCAGGCATACAGTATACACATTAGATCTCCAGAGTTTACTCATCCTCTTATGGTTTGTACTCTGACCAAAATTTCTCTGCCTGTTTTTAATTTTTCTTTCTTAAAATTGAAAAGAGAGAGAGAGAGACCAAGTCTCGCTCTGTTACCTAGGCTGAAGTGCAGTGATGTGCATGGCTCACTGCATGGCTCCCTGCAGCCTTGAACTTCTGGGCTTAAATGATCCTCTTTCTTTAGCCTCCCAAGTAGCTGGAATCACAGGTACGTACCACCATGCCTGGCTAATTTTTTTATTTTTATTTTTGTAGAGATGGGGTTTCACTTTGTTGCCCGTACTAGACTTGAACTCCTGGCCTCAAGCACTTCTCCCACCTTGGCCTCCCAAAGTGCTAGGATTACAGACATGTGCCACTGTGCACGACCCTGTTTTTAGCTTTCTTAATCACCCGTTTCACTTACAGAAGCAATATTCTTGTTTTGTTTTAGATGTGTATAGAGTGAAAAAAAGTCAAGTCTTCATCTTATCACTCTTTCTCCAGTCTCAATTCTCGGTGGGAATTTCTGCATTTGATGCAGAATTCCAGAGTGAATGAGTGTGCCGCTGTATGTTCTTTATACTGTTCAGTTTAAATGTATTTTAATATTGATGACTGTCGCACAGTGACTGAGATGCTTTTAAAACCCTTAGCGTAGAATATGATGAGATGAATAGTCATTATACACCTAATTATCTCTGGAAAATATCTTTGTCTTTGCCATACCTTCTTTTTGTCAGGATGCTTCTGGTTGCAAGTTACAGAAAGTAAACACAAATAACTTAAATTAAAAAGGAAAAATTTGCCAGGCACAGTGGCTCATGCCTGTAATCCTAGCATTTTGGGAGGCCTAGGTGGGCGGATTGCCTGAGCTCAGGAGTTCGAGACCAGCCTGGGCAACATGGTGAAACCCCATCTCTAAAATACAAAAAGTTAGCCAGGCGTGGTGGTATACGCCTGTGGTCCCAGCTACTCAGGAGGCTGAGGCAAGAGAATCACTTGAACCCTGGAGGCAGAGGTTGCCGCGAGCCGAGATCACCTCACTATACTCTAGCCTGGGTGACAGAACGAGATTCTGTCTCAAAAAAAAGGGAAAAATTTACTGGATTACATAATTAAAAGTCCAGAAACAGGTTTGGCTTCTAGCATACCCCTTCAGGTGCTCAGACACTTAATCAGAAATTGGACTTGAAGCTAGTTTTATTCTCAGGCCAGCCTTCTCCAGTAGTGGTACAGATGGCCACCAGCACCTTTGATCTGCCAGTTTGGCAAAATGATTAGAAAAGTGTAATCTTAGCTCCGTCAGAAGGCCCAGGAATGCCTCTCACTGACCTGACTTACAGCATGTGCCCATCTCTGCACCAGCCTGTGTTCTTTGGCAGGGCAGGACTAAGGAATACTCTGGCCAGCCTTAGTTCTCTGGCCATCCCAGGAGCCTGGGACACAGGGTCAGCGCCATCAAACCAGCTGGACCAAAAAAAATTTATTTTCTAACAGTTTTATTTTGTTTTATTTTATTTTTATTTTATTTTATTTTTCTTTCTTTCTTTTTTAGAGACAGGGTCTCACTCTGCTGCCCAGGCTAGAGTGCAGTGGTGCAATCTTGGCTCACTGCAGTCTCAACCTTCTGGGTTCAAGTGATCCTCTCACCTCAGCCTCCCAGTAGTGGGGACTACAGGCACACGCCACCATGCCCAGCTAATTTTTAAATTCTTTGTAGAGATGGGATTTCGTCACGTTTCCCAGGCTGGTCACAAACTCCTGCGCTCAAGGGATCTACTTGCCTCGGTCTCCCAAAGTGCTGGGATTACAAATGTGAGCCACCGCACCCAACCACACAAAATTTCTTAAAAAGATAGGACAGGGCCAGGGAGAGATAAGCCAGGCAAAACCGCAGGTGTGTTCTATGTTTTTTAACATATATATATATTTTTAAAAGAATAAGTAATTTGATTCTACAGCTTCATCCTCCAAATAGGGAATGAGTAAGATACTGTGCTAAAGGCCTTTTCGGCCCAGAGGAGTTGTAGCCTCCTGTCGTCTTAGCCTGCTGTAGTTACCTTCAGCAGACTTGCTTCCCAGCAATGGGGAGGCAATTCCTCAAACAGCAGCACTTCATGTAGCAGCATCTTGAATCCTCAGAGAACTCTTTTTCACAGTGTCCAAAGTAAATATTATTTCAAACTTTTAGGTATAACTGAACTATTTTTTCAATTTCAGTTAATAATGAAAGTCACTTGTTACTGTGATGTACCGAAGATGTAAGAATACATTGTAGGATTCATTAGGGCCAACCCTATCTTTACTTCTCTGATAGCAGTCCATTTCTAAAGTACAATGTATGTTTAACTAGCACCTTAAATTTACAGAATGTAGCTAAATTATTAACACCTTTTTTGTGGTTGTCCTTTAAACATTTGAAACAAATGACTTTGTCTAGGTAAGCAAAACTGCTAAAAACACTAGTTGGTATTTGTTCCTTTTGCAGTGATGCCTTTGTATGCTGTTAGTGAATAATATAGGCACTAAGTAACTCCCCTGTCACTACTGTAGAGATTGGAGGGTCGCCGGGGCACGCCACAGATGTCTTCACCTCCGTGAAGCTGTGTGGTAACACAGGGAACTGTTCAGGTTCCCATACACCAGTTTTGTTCAGTTGTTATAGTGTATTTAGAAATTGGGGATAGTGTCTTCCATTGACTCTACAATGCCCATTTTTCCCTGTTTCAGCTGCTCCGAATTCAGGATGTGTCTTAATTAATGGCATCAGCAATTCAGTGAAATCTAGTTGTTGCCAACAACTGATCACGAGTTTCTTATTTAAAAGTCCGGATTTCTGATTTCACTTTAAAATTGGAATATCTGGCAACAGCTGCCCTCATTCCTGCTTTGACCTTTTCTTTTCTTCTTTTCTTTTTTTTTTTTTTTAAGAGATAGGGTCTCACTATGTTGCCCAGGCTGGACTCAAATTCCTGGGCTTAAGTAATCCTTCTGCCTCAGCCTCCCAAGTAGCTAGGACTACAGGTGCACGCCACTGCACCCGGCTGCTTAGACCTTTGTATTATGGAACATAGGCTGACTGATTCCCCATGTTGATCATTAAGTCCAGTAAGCTGGTGTGGGGTTACCTGCCTGGTCCCTGAAGATGTTCAAGAAACTCTGTTACTTCTTACTCATTTTTAGGTACATGTAGAAACACCCCAATTGCAAAGCTAATTTATCTGTTGTTTTTAATCACGAGTTGTCTCCTTCTCCACTATAAAGTGTCTTCTACTTCCTGCTTAAGTATCTCTTGTCCATTTCATTCAGAGAGAAGTTTCTATTACTGTTCAATTTGAACTTATATCTATGTTTTGAACTTATATCTATGTTAAAATAGTAATGGTAACTCAATCCAAAGGACCTAATAACAGGAAGTAACATGTCTTATATATCAGTTTATATTTGTTTTTTTGTAGGGACATACTGTGATCTCAGTAGAGTTGTAATTTTGAGTTTCCTGTGGGTTTAGTGAATTTGTTTATTATTTTTATTATTTTTATTTTTTGAGACGGAGTTTTGCTTTTGTTGCCCAGGCTGGAGTGCAATGGCACCATCTCGGCCCACCACAACTTCTGCCTCCTGGGTTCAAGCAAGTCTCCAGCCTCAGCCTCCCAAGTAACTGGGATTACAGGCATGCGCCACCATACCCGGCTAATATTGTGGTTTTAGTAGAGACAGGATTTCTCCAGTTGGCCAGACTGATGACGAACAAATGAACTTTTTAAATTGTTGCCTTATTAAATAGCTAGGTAAATAGTAGAAAGACAGTCTCTGTAAGTAGATAAGTAAGTAAATATTGGGAAGCCAGAAACCTAAGTAGTTTTTCAAAAATCGTTTGTTTGTGGAGTCAAGATTACTCATGTTGGAAACCAGTTAGTCATTCAGGAAAACAGGGAAGTTCACAGATTCCTTATACTGGAAAAGTTTGCTTGCTTTCTTATTAATTAGCAGCAATGAAATGAGAATTGATTCCGATAAAATAGCCAAATAGTATATTTGTATGACAGCAGTCAGCTCTGTATTCCAAGGGCTGATGCCCTTGCAATGAAACACTGTTAAAAGAAGGTGATTAGGACCAGGATATATGTCCAATAACAGGGCAAATTGAGATTCGTGTCACATGGCAATTTGTAAACAGCTTTTCCGCTAAAGCAGATGAGTTTGAAGTCCTTCAGAGACTCAGTCTTGAGTAGAGAGGTTGTGGGGAGATTACGTTAAAAATGAATTGTGCTGGTCTTCCCCTTACAGAAAGCAGAAAATGGAGATTTAAATTGGATAATACCAGACCGATTTATTGCCTTCTGTGGACCTCATTCAAGAGCCAGACTTGAAAGTGGTATGTGAAATTATGGCATCAATCTCATTTTGTTATTGAAAGTGTCTGTCCTGTATTTTCTTTTGAAAGAGTTACACCAAGCTTGACCAAGGATTAATTATTTAAGCATACTTGGTCATTTCAGTACATCATTCTGACTGGATTTTAACTTTCTTTTTGTTTTGTTTTTTACAGTTATAATCAATTTGGTATTTAATTCCCAGTCCAGATATTGTTTCCGCTCAATTACAGGTGAAACTATTAGCCATTGTTTTCTTTATGTGTTTTACAAGATCTGGTGCATTTCTTTATGTAGGTTACCACCAACATTCTCCCGAGACTTATATTCAATATTTTAAGAATCACAGTGTTACTACCATTATTCGTCTGAATAAAAGAATGTATGATGCCAAACGCTTTACGGATGCTGGCTTCGATCACCATGATCTTTTCTTTGCGGATGGCAGCACCCCTACTGATGCCATTGTCAAAGAATTCCTGGATATCTGCGAAAATGCTGAGGGTGCCATTGCAGTACATTGTAAAGGTACGTTTCCAGGGGTGGTTACATAATAGTATATAGTATGAGTATATTAATATGTAGAAACAGACCATATTCATTTAGTTTATGTGTCAGAACACAAAACTGCCTTTATTTTTAGAGTGCCATTAAACCTTTGATTTCATATGAAAAGTATAGTAACTTATTTTCATAAGTAATTCTACAAAGACATCACATTGAAATGCATTTATTTATTCATCAGATATTTATTGGGTGCATACTATATAGTTAAGTTCTAGGATACATCAATGACTAGTGTAAACTGTAAGAGCCTGTCTTTATGGAAACTGTTCTTAACAAGTTGCTCTGTTTTCAGCAATTATAACAGTGCCTGGCATTTAATAGATATTTTTTGAAGAAATGAATGACTATACAATAATACATGGTATGAAGGTAGTGGGATTTATTTAACTTTCTTTGTTAGTTAATTAAGAAACAAGGAGTATAGTTCTGTTAAAAAAAATCCAATATTGGATAAAAAGCTCAGCAAGCCTTGGGGAAAGGGGGAGACTGATCTCCAGAGTTACTGCTGTATTTGTAGTTTAAAATATAATGACAAAACATCACATTTCAGTTTTTATTGAAAAATCATAAGGTATACAAAGAAACAAGGAAGTATAGCCTATACAAAGGGAAGAAATATATCCAGGCTGGGCACGGTGGCTCACGCCTATAATCCCAACACTTTGGGAGGCCAAGGTGGGTGGATCGCCTGAGGTCAGGAGTTTGAGACCAGCCTGACCAACATGGTGAAACCCCATCTCTACTAAAAATACAGAGAAATTAGCTGGATGTGGTGATGGATACCTGTAAGCCCAGCTAATCGGGAGGATGAGGCACAAAAATCACTTCAACCCGGAAGGCAGAGGTTGCAGTGAGCCGAGATTGTGCTACTGCACTCTAGGCTGGGTGATAGACAGAACAGAAAAAAGAAGAAGAAATAAATCCACAGAAGCTGTCCCTGAGAAAGATCAGATTGTGGACTTAGTAGGCAAAAATTTTTAAATAGCCATCTTAAAGATACCCAAGAGTTAAAAGAAAATGTGGGAAAAGTCAAGGAAACAATCTATGAACAAAATGTTAATAACCAGTTATAAAAAGAACACCAAAAAGAAATTCTGGAAATGAAATGTACTGTAACTGAGATGGAAAATTCACTGGAGGGATTCAGAAGCATATTTGAGCAGGCAGAAGAATCAGTGAGTGTGAAGCTAGAACCATTAAAAAAAACTAGCAAGTCTGAGGAACAGGAGGAATAAAGAGCATAAGATAAATGAACAGAATCTAAGGGACCTCTGAGACATACCCAAGTAGACCAAGATACAGATTGTGGGAGTTCCAGAAGGAGAAGAGAAATAAAGGAGCAGACAGATGATTTGACTGAAAACTCCCCAAACGTGATATATGCAAGAATATCCAAGAAACTCAACACACTCCGAGCAGGATAAACTCAGAGGCCCACGTGAACATGCATTATCACCGCACTGTAACGACAGAGACACTCTTGAAAGCAGCAGGAGAGAAGTGACCTGCCACATACAGGGGATACATCCACTGAGATTGTCAGCAGATATCTCGTCAGGAACATTGGAGCTAGGAGGCAGTGGGTGGATATATTCAAAATGCATAAGTGGGGAAAACCTGTTAATTCTACATCTGGCAAAACTCCTTCAAAAATAGTGGAGAAATTAAGACAGTGCCCAGGCAATCAATTTGCCTTTCTGATAAAGGCAAATACATGGACCATTATAAAAACTAGTATTATCGTAACAAGGTAATTTGTAAAATATTATTACTGTGACTTGTAATTATTGTAACTTGCAAAAAACAAATAGAAAATCTGAATAAACCCCTAACTAGTAAGGAGATTAAGTAATCAAAAACCTCCTGAGAAAGCAAAACCTTGGACATAATAACATCACCAGTAAATTCTACCAAACACTTAAGCGAGAGTTTTTCATCCCTAGATCTGACCTGCAAGAAATACTAAAGGGAGTCTTATAGGTTGAGATGAAAGCACACTAGACAGTAACGCACAGCCATTGGAGAAAAGGAAATAAAGATTTCTGATAAAGGCAAATACAGGGACCACTATAAGCTAATATTATTGTAACAAGATAATTTGTAAAATATTATTACTGTAACTTGTAATTATTGTAACTTGCAAATATTATAATATGTAAATTATTGTTGTAATTTGTAAAATAATTTGTAGTTTGCAAGTAGTATAATTGTATATTATTGTATACAAAAATTGCAAGTACTATATTACTGTAATTTGTAAAACAGAGAGTAGAAAACCAGTAGAGAAAATCAACAAAACTAAGGGTTGGTTCTTTAAGAAGAATAACAAAAATGATAAACCTTTAGCTAGAATGATGAAGTATAAAAGGAAGAAGATTCAAATTGCTAAAATTAGAAATGAAAATGGCGTTACTACTGATACTGTGGAAATAAAACTGATCAGTAGTGTAAAAATGATCAGTATTATAGGACAACAAATTGGATAATCTACATGAAATGGACAAATTCCTAGAAAAACAAAATACCAGAACTAAATCATAAAGAAAATCTGAACAGACCCCTAACTAGTAAGGAGATTAAGTATTCCAAAACCTCCTGAGAAAGCAAAGCCTAGGACATGATGGCATCACCAGTAAATTCTACCAAACACTTAAAAGACTAAAACCAGTCCTTCTCAAACCCTTCCAAAAATGTGGGGAAAAAGGAACATTTTCTAACTCAATAAGGCCAGCATTACCCTGATACCCCAAACAAAAAGACACTGCAAGATAACTATAGGCCAGTATCCCTTACGAACGTCGATGCAAAAACCTTGAACAAAATACTAGCCAATGGAATTCAGCAGCATATTTAAAAGGGTTGTGTACCATGACCAAGTAGGATTTATCCCATGATTACAAGAGTGGTTCAACATGTGAAAATCAATCAGTGGAATATACCACGTTAAGGACAAAAACCACACGATCATCTCAATGCACAAAAAGCATCTGACAAAAGTCAGTACCCTTTTGTGATGAAAAACACGGTGCAAACTAGGTGTAGAAGGAGATTACCTCAACATAAGAACCACATGTGAAAAGCCCACAGCTAACATCATACTCAGTGGTGAAAGACTGAAAGCGTTTCCTCTGAGCCCATGAAGAAGACAAGGATGCTTGGTTTTGTGGCTTCTGTTGAACATGGTAATGGAAGTTCTAGCCAAAGCAAGTAAGGAAAAAAAAAAACATCGAAATTGAACAGAGGGAAGTAAAATTATCTGTTTGCAGATGATACGACTTATATGTATTATAGAAAACCCTGGGCCAGGTGCAGTGGCTCATGGCTGTAATCCTAGCACTTTGGGAGGCCAAGGCTGGTGGATTGCCTCAGCTCAGGAGTTCGAGACCAGCCTGGACAACACGGTGAAACCCCGCCTCCACTAAAATACAAAAAAAAAAGCTGGGCGAGGTGCATGTGCCTGTAGTCCCAGCTACTTTGGAGGCTAAGACAGGGGAATTGCTTGAATCTGGGAGATGGAGATTGCAGTGAGCCAAGATCGTGCCACTGCACTCCAGCCTGGGGGACAGAGCAAGACTCTGTCTCCAAAAAAAAGGGAAAAGAAAACCCTCAAGATTACACACACACACACCCCACCAAGCCCCTGCTAGAACTAATAAATGAGTTCAGCAAAGAAGTGGCAGCATATAAAATCAACAGGCAAAAATCCCTTGTTTCTAAGCCCTGACAATAAAAATCTAAAAAAGAAACTAAGAGTACAGTTTCATTTGTAATAGCATCAAGAAGAATCAAATATTGGGGAATTAACCAAGGAGATGAAAGATTTGTTTAAAACATTTTTGAGAAAAATTAAGATATAATTAAATGTAATAACATCACATTTGTCCACTGGGTGACTTAATATTGTTAACATGTCAGTATTGCCCAAAGAGATAGATTCAATGCAAGCCTTTCAAAATTCCAACATTGCTTGCAAAAATGGAAAAATGATTCTGAAATTCATTTGGAATCTCAAGGGATGCCAAATGGCCAAAACAATCTTGAAAAGGAATAAAAAGGTTGGAGGACTCACTTCCTGGTTTCAAAACTTCATCATACAGGTTGGGCATGGTAGCTTAACACCTGTAATCCCAGTACTTGGGGAGGCTGAGGCAGAAGGATTGCTTGAGCCCAGGAGTTTAAGACCACCCTGGACAACATGGCAAAACCCCATCTCTACTAAAAAATACAAAAATTAACTGAGCGTGGTGGTGTGTACCCTGTAGTCCCAGCTACTCGGGAAGCTGAGATGGGAGGATCCCTTGAACCTGGGAAGTTGAGGCTGCAGTGAGCCATGATTGTGCAGTTGCACTCCAGCCTGGGCGACATACGGAGACCCTGTCTCAAAAAAAAAAAAAAAAAAAAAAAAAAAGCTTGGTACAAAGCTACATCAATCAAGATTGTGTGGTACTGGCATAAAGACAGATATAAAGACCAGTGAGATAGAATAGAGAGCTCAGAAATAAATCCTTGTGTATATGGTCAAATGACATTCAAGAAGGATAAAGACGCAACTCAATGGAGAAAGGACAGTCTTTTCAACAAATGGTGCCGGGAAAACCTGATATCCACATGTAAAAAATAACACCATATACAAAAATTAACTCAAAGTGGATGAAGGACCTAAATATAGAACCTAAAACTATAAAAGTCTTATAAGAAAAAGAGGGTGAAAACTTCATGACATTAGATTTGGCAGTAATATGACACCAAAGGCACTGACAATGAAAGAACAGACAAATTGATCTATATAAAATTTTAAAACTTTTGTGCATCAAAGTGTACTATCAGCAGAGTAACAAGGTAACCCATGGATTGGGAGAAAATGTTTGCAAATCACATCTGATAAGGGATTAACATCCAGAAGATACAGAGAAAACTCCTAAAAACTGCGACAAAACCCAGTTCATAAATGGGAAAAGGAC